ACCCCTCGGTGCGTCCCGAGCACCCGGTTCCTGCCCAGCTCCAGGCCCACGCGGGCAGCAGCGGTGCCGAGAGGCGCCCGGGCTCTGCAGGCCCCGCGCACGTCTGCTCGCCCCGCGCGTCTCCATCCACCGCGCGGGAGGCCGGGACACAACCTGCTGCTTCTACCTGCACGCACAGCTCAACCGAGGTACTAGGAGAGATTTTTCTCCGAATCAGGACTTAACAGCCAGGTTTCCTGGACAAAAGGATGCAGCCGATGCAAAGAAGCACTAAGGAGGAGACGAAAGGAGATGGGAGCGTGGGCAGGAACGCGGGTGACTGAAGAGGACAGAGAAGAACTGCAGCATTGAGCACTAGCATTGGCACCTCGCTGCCAAGAGTCAGGAAAACTAAAGTAACGCTCCAATATCCCCCTCACCTTTCAGCGCTCGCCCAGGCTCCCGTGCCCCACGGGGAGAATGGAGCTGCCCTCGCTACACTGCCAGGACAGCAGACACGACGCCTGTCTCCTTGTCAAGCGGCCGTCGCAACAGGCGCCGGCAACAACAGTCTGCAGGGGACAGGCAGAAAGGGGGGCAGCTTCCCTGGGGGAGAAGCTCTGGAAAAGCTCTGGAAAAGCTCTGCTGTTCGCTGTGCCCACAGGCCCCACCTCTGGGGGCTCCTTATCTGCTCAAATATTTAAGCTATGTGACGCTGCAGCTGGGAAAGGCCCCGCTTTGGGTGGTTGGTTTTGCCTGGTTGTTTCAATAGCAGCCGGCGGGCAACAAAGCGGCCAGAGCTGGGGCGGTCTCGGCACCCAGGGCAGCCGTTCTAGCACTGTCTTTTTAGTCCTGCCACTTAAGAATGAATTTAGGGTGGAACAGAGAGCTGTATTGTCCAGAGGAGTCACAGGGCAAGTCTGCAGGGCAGCAGGCCCCAAAACGAGCTGTTCTTCACCCATTACCAAACCAGTGACAAGCAACAGAAACTCGAGGGCTGCTTAAGCCCGTTCTACTCTGCAGTGCATGCAGTCCCGGGGCTCATCCCGCTGCTCCCAGGTTCTCCTGGCCGGTGGGACTGGGAGGGGAGCCAGAGGACTGTGCTGGTCGCTTCAGTGTGAGCCACAGGCCTCCGAGGAATCATAAACAGGAAACGAAGAGGAGAACCTGTTTTCAGCGAGCCTAAACTGCTCTATTGGGCAGGACGTCTTCCTCCCTAGAAAGCCAAAGGGATCATCAAATTAAGAGGGAGAAAAAGCTGAACTAATGCAGGCCTGGTGCCTGGTTTTGATCGCATGAGGACTGCGTGACAAACCCCACCAGGAAAGAACGGGGCGCTCGGCGCACGGGTCAAGACGGGCGGTTGTACTCGGCACAGGTTAGCGCGGTCCCGGTGCAAGCAGCGGCCAAACCATGCTCTGCTCTGCCCGGGGAGCCCCGGGGGCCTCGGCGCCCTCCCGCGCCCCGGGGCAGCCGCACGGCAGCTCCCGGGGCTGCTCGGGCCCTAGAGCAGCAACGAGGGCAGCAGGAGCGGGGAGGAGACGGGAGGCCTAGAGACACAGGAAGGAAGGGAAAGACTCTGCTTGTCCATGCTTGGAATCTCCAGTCTCCTACCTGGCAAGTCTCTCCTTATCCGCTGAACTCTGCTCATCATCAGACCTAAAAATAAAATCAGCGAGCTAAGCTAAAACGGAAAAAAGTTTAAAGAAATGAAAAGTGGGGAGGTGCACTAGGAAACGCAGCCTACAGACAGGTCTGTTTTGCAGAGGAGCAATTCCATGAAACAAAGCAGTCATCAGTTCACAACACTGCACATTAAACTGGTACCTATGGACGTGCTAAGACACTTATCAAGGCTGTACAACAGGCAGGGGCAACAGGCAGCAGTCTTGCATACAGGATAACGGACGTGCGGATGGTTGTGTGCAAGAACACAAGGTTTGTGGCAGAGCTGGGAATACAGTCCCAGGCACCTTAAGCTCCTCTTCCTGTTAATGTTAACAGAGCCAAAAAGCACAAGGAGACCCCCCGAAATCCCCCGAGTGGCAGCTAGCAGAGAACACACGGTCCTGGCGCTGCTTGGCCGGGATGCTCTTGGACCTCAGCTGCTTTAATGCCACCCTAAAAGCCTGATGTTCACTTTCACAGTGTGTTTTACCTCTACATCATGCGAGGAAGGGAGAGAAAAGCGAGGGCTGTGAGGAAGCTGCCAGTCCTGGAACACACAGCGCTGAGAGCCCTCATTTCAGTCCAAGACATCCACCAAATCCAAGGAAAGGCTCCTTTACACGACATCATTCCTGGCTCATCCTGTGATTTAGTCTGTCCTCCTGACCCTCAAGGCCCTTGAGGCAACGTGTGGGGCAGTTCTTACCTCCGCGTCCCTCATTCTTACCCCAGTGTCCCCAGCCCCTTGTATTTAACTCCAGTGTCAGGAAGATCTAAAGTTAGAGTCTTTTCCACTCAACATTCGCTCACTTTTCCTCTTAGTGAGACCCAGCAGGGTGGGTGTTGGCACCAAGGGGACAGGAATTTACAACACTCAGAACACGGACAAAAGCCCCCCGAACATGGCAAGAACAGCACACAGGAACACCAAGAAAGCCCCGAAATGCTGAGCTCAACGGAGGGGTTGATCTTGCTGAAACGCAGGGGTGACACCCCGAGCTCAGCCCTGCTTCTGCACGGCCCGGAGCTCCTCTGGCAACCCGGGCAGACGGCCAGGGGCAGGAGGTTCCCCGTGATGCCACCCTACACGCGCCACATGCGGGGAGGCACCGCGTGTGCCGGCAAACCCGTTCAAGCACACTTGCACCAAGCACCAAACTTGTTTTTTTCTGCAAGTTCCTTGAGCGGGAGAGTAAGATTCCGAGGCAACAGCTGAAATAGAAACTTTGAAGAGGAATGTGATTTCTTAATCCTCCTGTGAAGCCATCCAAACAAACCAGGGGAAGCGTCTGGATCTTTGGCACAAGCTGCACCTTCCTCCAAGGGGAGGAAGGCCCTGCTGGTGGGGCAGGGACAGGCCCTGCCCGCGTGTGGATGGAGCTCTCTGCCCCGGGTCCAGCACCGCTCCCGAACGTGCCGCGCGGCAGCCGCTTACCTGGCAAAGCGCTCTTTATCGTTCGGCATCTGGTCATCGTCGCACCTAGGAGAGAGGAAGATGAGTTCGCACCCTCTTTACACTTGCTCCTCTACCAAACACCTCGGGAGAATGGGGAGGGTGTTAAATCACACACGAAAAGCCTAGGGCTGAAGAGAAGTTCCAGTGTGCCCAGGGAGCCCAGGACCACCCTTGTTGTTGAGCTACTTAAAAGGCTACAGCTTCATTAGTTTAGTGTCTTCGTGACATTTTGTGCCTGATAGTCACACCAAGGACCCCATCTCCCTCATCAGTTGACTCAGCTCAGTCCTTGGACAACCACCCTTAAAGGACTGCGACATCTGGAACTCCACTGGCATCACAACGGTCTAAGCCTAATCCTTGCAGCGAGGCTACAAATTAATTATAGGAGATTTGCCAGCTCTTCTGCATCCCATATGGGTTATGAGAGGAGCTGCTCACAGCCGCGGGGACAACGAGTCCTCAGCCCCAGAACAAACGAGCTCAGAAACACCCGTCCAGGGCCCGCTGGATCCCTCACGGTGCTGGTGTCCCCCTCGCCCCCCGCTCACCCCGCTGCAGCTCCTGGGTGCCAGCCCACTCTCACCTGAGGAATTTGCTGTTCCCTTCTCCGTCGTCATCAAAATCAAGCCTGAAAAACATCAGCAAAAAGGCAATAATTAAGAGGCAGTCTCTCTCACGGGCTGCTTTTCCATCTGTCCTGCAGGGACAACTCCTGCAAGGAGGGTTTAAGTGACCCCACGCGGTCACGGGCCGTTTGGCAGCGATTTCCTTGGGCTGTTTCTGAGCAAGGAGAGTGTTCGGGATGGAGTGGTCCCGGCTGCTGACGTCCCGTTCCCGGGCAGGGAAGCGGCTGCCCTCGCTGCTCACAGACAGAGCAGCCTCCCGATGGAGCACGTGTAATTCCAACGCTTGGATAAGGAGCATTAAAAAGAGGGCCAAACACCCCAAAAGTGGAGCTGCTCCAAAAGTGGGAGCAGCTGCAGGGGAGCCGGAGCATCAGCAAAAGGGGCGAGGAGCGAGCCCGAAGGGAGGGAGATTTTTTTGTTAACTGAAAAATAAGAGGAAATGGCTTGCGGCAAGACGTGAAGAGGGGCCTCTAAATATCCTTTTAATTGCCAAGAGCATTTTTAGCAAACAAAGAGCCTACCGCAAGCACATTGCTGCCTTCCCCACCCTCTTCCAGGGAAAGGGCATTGCAAAAGCCTAAGGCCCCGCATTCCCGTTCCTCGGCATCTCCTGCAGCAGCTGCCCCGTCCCCCTGCCCCCCGGTTCATTCCCGGTCCGGGGCGGACACAGACACCCCC